TAGTAGTTAATGATGTTACACAGCGAATAGTAGTTAATGCCGTTGACACAGCGAATAGTAGTTAATGATGTTACACAGTGAATAGTAGTTAATGATGTTACACAGCGAATAGTAGTTAATGATGTTACACGGTGAATAGTAGTTAATGACGTTACACAGTGAATAGTAGTTAATGATGTTACACAGTGAATAGTAGTTAATGATGTTACACAGTGAATAGTAGTTCATGACGTTACACAGTGAATAGTAGTTAATGATGTTACACAGTGAATAGTAGTTAATGATGTTACACAGTGAATAGTAGTTAATGATGTTACACAGTGAATAGTAGTTAATGATGTTTCACAGTGAATAGTAGTTAATGATGTTACACAGTGAATAGTAGTTAATGATGTTACACAGTGAATAGTAGTTAATGACGTTACACAGTGAATAGTAGTTAATGACGTTACACAGTGAATAGTAGTTAATGACGTTACACAGTGAATAGTAGTTAATGATGTTACACAGTGAATAGTAGTTAATGATGTTACACAGTGAATAGTAGTTAATGACGTTACACAGTGAATAGTAGTTAATGACGTTACACAGTGAATAGTAGTTAATGATGTTACACAGTGAATAGTAGTTCATGACGTTACACAGTGAATAGTAGTTAATGACGTTACACAGTGAATAGTAGTTAATGACGTTACACAGTGAATAGTAGTTAATGACGTTACACGGTGAATAGTAGTTAATGACGTTACACGGTGAATAGTAGTTAATGACGTTACACGGTGAATAGTAGTTAATGACGTTACACAGTGAATAGTAGTTAATGACGTTACACAGCGAATAGTAGTTAATGATGTTACACAGTGAATAGTAGTTAATGATGTTACACAGTGAATAGTAGTTAATGACGTTACACAGTGAATAGTAGTTAATGACGTTACACAGTGAATAGTAGTTAATGACGTTACACAGTGAATAGTAGTTGATGACGTTACACAGAGAATAGTAGCTAAATGATGTTACACAGATGAATAGTAGTTAATGACGTTACACCGCGAATAGTAGTTAATGATATTACACAGTGAATAGTAGTTTATGATGTTACACAGTGAATAGTAGTTAATGATGTTACCCCGTGAATAGTAGTTAATGATGTTACCCAGTGAATAGTAGTTAATGATGTTACACAGTGAATAGTAGTTAATGATGTTACACAGTAAAGAGTAGTTATGATATTACACAGGAGAATTAGTAGTTAATGACGTTACACGGTGAATAGTAGTTAATGATGTTACACGGTGAATAGTAGTTAATGACGTTACACAGTGAATAGGTACTACGTGTCCGCAGGGCAACAGCCAATCAGCTCCACTTGGCGTCAGCTTTGTTCCATCTGCTGTAAATAGTCTATTTAACGTAAATTCAAATAAGCTCAAGTCAGTGACTGATAGTAGAGAGGAATTTAATCTCAAACTATATGGTTTATATTATCAGGAATCAGGAACATTTATTACCAAATTATATAAGACATACAAGGAATTTGAATCAGAGAATGAATGAATGAATTTTATTTATTCACACAATACCACTTGAAACATAACACAGCTGGGGAGGTACAAGATTAATTGGGTAAGGTGAATGGGTCCCCCAAAGAAGCTAAAGAAAGCTTATAGGTGGGGGCCCATGATTCAATTTATAGTGGTAGCACAAAACTGTAAAGTACACAATCACCACAAATTATAATGACTAGTTGCTCACGAGAGACACACTAGTACAAAACATCACATACAATCATACATCCCAGTAGTCCATGAAAAAACACTTTTATATTAGATGTAGGTTGATAAGAAATATTTTATAAGACAATGATTACAAGACAACGTGGTGCAAGAGGAATTTAAATTAAAAATAAAGTTTAAAAAAGTCAGAAATAAGGTGCACCAGCGAACAATGCACGTGTCCGTGGAGCGAGCCGGGCGGCTCCAGGCACGAGCACCGAGGGCGGGAGCTCTGAGATTTGGCGGACAGTTTGAAATAGTTTTCCACCAATGAGCATCGCAGACTCTCTTGTGGAGGCGCGGCTGAGCTCCAGGAGGAGTCCTCCACCAATCAGGAGCCGAGGTCTGAAGCTGCGTCACCGCTCCACAGCCGGTCCACACTTTAAGAGCCGCGTGTCTCCTCTCAGAGTTCACTTCACCAGAGCGAGACTAGTCGATCATGGCACGAACCAAGCAGACCGCCCGTAAGTCCACCGGAGGCAAAGCCCCCAGGAAGCAGCTGGCCACCAAGGCCGCCCGCAAGAGCGCCCCGGCCACCGGCGGCGTGAAGAAGCCTCACCGTTACAGGCCCGGTACCGTGGCCCTGAGGGAGATCCGTCGCTACCAGAAGTCCACGGAGCTGCTGATCCGCAAGCTGCCCTTCCAGCGTCTGGTGAGAGAGATCGCTCAGGACTTCAAGACCGACCTGCGCTTCCAGAGCTCCGCCGTTATGGCTCTGCAGGAGTCCAGCGAGGCTTACCTGGTGGGCCTGTTCGAGGACACCAACCTGTGCGCCATCCACGCCAAGAGGGTCACCATCATGCCCAAAGACATCCAGCTGGCCCGCCGCATCCGCGGGGAGCGAGCTTGAGAAGTCTGCTCCTACTGACCCCACAACGGCTCTTTTAAGAGCCACCTCACTCCCTTTAAAGAACTTAGTCCTTAACGCGACCACCTACATAAACTCATGATTTTAGAAAAGTTGTCAATCCAGAGCTTTATGAATAATCTGTCTTTAATCATGTAGATGTTTACAATGTACGTCCTCAACGTCAAAGTGCCCCAGCTAACAGGCATAATCTCAACTGAAGACTGAATCATTTCTGTTGGAGGAATTTAACGTATTTTACATCTTCTGTTGTTTATTCTGTACACATCTTTCAGTCTGGCATCCTCTGCCGTTCTCCATAAGTTGTTTTTTTATCTCCCTATCAAAAGTTTTCCCTGTTTCTGTGAGGGTTTCGGGACGGGGGAAGTATACAGACTGTAAAGGCCTCTGAGGAAAATTTGCATTATATTCTTGGCATAATCTGACACCGCCAAGACAAGTGTGGCAAAATACCGCGGGCAAGTTAACAACTTTCAACATACGCATCAATTCAAACAGATCAGCCCCGTTTGACAGCGAGGTCGTCACACTCAGACAGCACGTGAAGTCCTCAATAATCTGTGCCTTTGACTGGTGATCTGTCCCCGCTGGCAGCCAGCTGTCTGGCCGATAACGGCTCGCTGAAGGTCAACAATAACCTGCAGGCTTCTCCAACATCTTCGTGGTGGGAGACTGCGCTGACGTCCACGAGCCCAAGATGGCATACCACGCCGGGCTGCACGCTGCCGTCGCCGAGAGCAACATCACCAACAGTCAGAGTGGGAAGGAGCTGACCTCGTACCGTGCAGGTAAACCCACACACGTCTGTTGTAGTCGAGTGTCTGGTGGTTGCCTCTCGCTGATGGTGTCGACGGTTGCTAGGTAACGTCACCATGTTGCTGGCGATGGGCCGTGACGACGGCGTGGGTCAGTTCAACAGGCTGAAGTTGCGTGGTTGCTTTGGGGAAGAGTCGAGATGGGTGTGCTGTGGAAGAGTTGGAGGGAGGTGCAAAGGAGCAACCCTGAGGACTCCTCTGCTAAGGACCTTCACTCACTTCAGAAAAAATGAGGAAAGATCATTTTTTATGTTGGCCGATCGATAGAGCACGTTTGTACACCCAGCTTGTTCCTTCTACCATATTTAAATATTGGGAGTATGAACTGATATCGGTTACTCAGGTAATTAAAGGTAACATAAAAAATGTTTTAAATTCATGCAAAGAGGCATCTTTAATTTGATTTCTGCTAGAAATAAAGGTTTCAGATGCTGTTTAACATTGTAGTCTCAGCTGATCCATGTGCTGAGAAAATGTAGTGATCTAAAACATGGACCAGCAGTAGCCTCACTCAGAAATTAAGGATTTAACTTTTTGCTAAATATTATAAAGGGGTCTGTCTTTAGAAATCCCTCCATAGATTCATCAAAGGCTGAATTCAAAGGACATTTCGAAGGTCCAACAACGAGCAGGAGACATTCATTGATTAGTGGTGTAGTTCAGCAGGGGGCGCGAGGGAACCAACTTCAAGCAGCGTGTCTTCTGTCACGTCCTCCGACTGGGTTTAAATATCTGTGAACTGACTCTATTCGCTCATCTTGTTTCAAACTTATCTGATAACATGAGCGGAAGAGGAAAGGGAGGAAAGGGACTCGGCAAAGGAGGCGCCAAGCGTCACCGTAAAGTCCTCCGTGATAACATCCAGGGCATCACCAAGCCCGCTATCCGCCGTCTGGCTCGCCGCGGCGGAGTGAAGCGCATCTCCGGTCTGATCTACGAGGAGACCCGCGGTGTGCTGAAGGTCTTCCTGGAGAACGTGATCCGCGACGCCGTCACCTACACCGAGCACGCCAAGAGGAAGACGGTGACCGCCATGGATGTGGTCTACGCCCTGAAGAGACAGGGACGCACCCTGTACGGCTTCGGCGGATAAAGGCCGACTTTTACTACCAAAACCACAACGGTCCTTTTAAGGGCCACGCACTCTCTCCGAAGAGTTGATCTCCTGTTTAATATCAAAATTTAGTATACGTTGTATGAAAGTTGTAACCATCAACAACAATTTTAAACAATTCTATGTGCAGTTTTACATGATGGGTATTCTTTGCTATGTTTAAGTAGCCCATGTGTCTGCTCCTTAGATGCTCATACTAGCTAATGTTACATGAGTGAATGTCCTAGCCCTTGTATGATACATTCTGGAAATCACAGCTATAGTCTGCAGCTGAATAATGAAGGAAAAGCTCTTTAAGGGAGGATTGGGTGGCTCTTAAAAGAGCCTTTTATAGAAGCGTTGGTTGTTCAGACTGAGGTCAGTTTACTTCTTCTTGGGTGCTGCTTTCTTGGCTTTGGGCTTAGCGACCTTCTTCACGGGGGTTTTCTTGGCTGCGGGGGCCTTTTTCACCACCTTCTTGGGGCTCTTGGCCACCTTCTTGGGGCTCTTTGCTACCTTCTTGGGGCTCTTGGCCACCTTCTTGGCCGATGCGGGTTTCTTGGCCTTCTTCGGTGACTTCTTAGCGGCTACAACTTTCTTCACTGCCGCTGCTTTGGGCTTTTTGGCCGCTGCGGGCTTCTTGGCTTTAGGAGCGGCTTTCTTTGCCGGTTTGTCGGCGGTGGTCTTGCTCACCTTGAAGGAGCCGGAGGCCCCGATCCCCTTGACCTGGACCAGAGTCCCCTTGGCCACCAGGCTCTTGATGGCGGTCTTGACGCGGGCCTTGTTCTTGTCCACATCGTATCCTCCGGCGGTCAGAGCCTTCTTGACGGCGGCAGCGGACACGCCGCTCCGCTCCTTGGACGCGCCCACGGTTTTCACGATGAGGTCGGAGACGCTGGGACCGACCTTCTTCGGCCTGGACGCCTTCTTCTTGGCCGCTTTGGGCGCGGCGGCGGCGGCCGCAGCTGGAGCTTCTTCTGCCATTTCGTCCCGCTGTTGTGCGTTTGCGTCGTCGAGGACTCGAGAGACTGAGACCGATGAAGAGCTCGAAGCAGCGGACTGCACTTAAACGCACCATGAGAACCGTGGAGACTCAACCCAGCCCGGAGCTCCTCGTGCAGCGTGAAAGTCGAGTCACGTGTGTTTTCTCTCCACTGATTAAAGACTAAAAGCTAAATGTGCTTCAGGTGCTGGAGGCTGAAGGCGGAGGAGCCGATAGCGGACTAGTTTCTCTGCGTGTTCAGGTCACGTGGAGCTCTGATGATCGATGCGTTTGGTTTGAGGAGCCTTCAAACGTCACCTACTCAGCGCCGAGGACAGCGCTGATCAGCGGCTTTTCCCACTCATTTCTCTCCTAAAAGTATTTAAATTGCATCACATCTCCATCAAAAGTCGTTTTCCAACTGCTCCACATGTTTATTCAGGATTGCAATTTAAAAATAACCATCAGATGTTGATCAGTTTTTAATAAACTAGAGTTATACTGCGAACAGTAAACACACTGGAGACGGTGGTGGCTTATGGTGCAGTTTAATCAGACCTCCTCACTGTGGACATGTCTTCTGTTATTTTATACATCAATGTGTAATCCTCAATTACACTTTTATGCTCCCATAGCACTGTTACTATAACACATACGTTATTTCTGTTGTGCTGATGAATCCTATTAGCACAGATGCAGTTGCATTTAAGTGAATACAACTAACCGTCATTGCCATTACTAACATTCATTAAAGTATTTCTATGCATAACAATCAAAAGGTTTGACTAATTCATACAGAAATAAATAGAGATTTTAAACTGATTTAACATGTTTTATGTTCAACACTTATGAAATTACACAATTGCAGCCTGTTTACATCATGTTGATTGCACAAAGTTAAAATAGCAAACTATGCAAATCTGGGGATGGGCACAACAACAGCTCATACTGGTACCTGTTATTGACTATATGAGTTATAAGCACGGTTTTCCAAGTCCAACTCATCTCTTTTCTTGCCTTGCTGGGCCTCAGCATTTGACACCATTGATCATTCTGTCCTGTTGCAGAGACTAGAATTGATAGATTGATATTAAAGGAACTGCTCTCAGCTGTTTTAAATCCTATTTATTGGATCGATCCCAGTTTGTGCTCGTAAACGGTGAATCCTCGATGACCACCAATGTTGCTCACGGTTCCACAAGGTTCTGAGCTTGGACCGATTTTATTTGCCCTGTATATGCTTCCTTTGGGCGATGTTATCAGAAAACACTGCATGAACTTCCGTTGTTATGCAGACCGACCAGCTTGTTAGACTTCAATAATGTCTTAGAAACATCAAACTGAAATCCACAGAAAAAGAGCTCTGCCATCTGCGAGAACGCCACTTATCATGTGTTGTTCACGTCTGCTACTGTCTTGTTCACATTTACTATTAATTGATTTGAGACTGATCAAAGGCGGTCTGCGAGAAGACCACCTGATTTGTCTTGGTTACTTCTGCCTGCTATAGGCTTAGACTGCCGGGAGACTTCTTAGGACACACCGAGCTCCTCTCACTCTCTCCTTCTACAATAATCCACATCTCGTTAATACAGATCACTAATTCAGCTTCTTTCCCGGATCTTTTTTTTTGTGCTTTCTTGCAGGTCTCCGTCAATCGTAGTTCTGTCTGGACTCTGGTCCTGACTCCTGCGTGGCCCTGTTGACACCAACCGCCTCTAACACCATTAATATCCCCATTTCTTTTGCTGTAAACATTAATGTAACATTTATTTGTTCCTTCAATGGAGTATTTGGGCTTTTTCGCAACACAGGTTTCCATGGGTCATGGTTATATCTGGCCTCCTACCGTGGCCCTGCTGACACCTGCGGCTGCCATTATGAATATTAATATTACCGTCATCATAAACCAACATTACCCTCTCCTAAAGTCTCTGTGCTTTCCCTCCCCACAGGCTTCTGTGGATGGTGGTTCTGACCGTTGTCCCTGCAGCGGTCCTGCCATACACCTTGCTCACTAATCGCAATTATTTGAATCACTTCGGTTATAGGAATTGAACGTCTTCTACATCGTTCATTCTGTACAAATGACAATTGTAGTCCATCCCGGGAGATGAATCCCTCCTGACATTATCCGATGGGGATTTTTTCTGTCCCAATGTGAGGGTTTTGGGACAGGATGTCGCATGTGCACGGACTGTAAATCCAGTCTAACACTCTCGGAGCGCCACTTTTTTATTCTTTAGAAGTGGGTGCCTCTTAAAAGAGCCTTTGGGTTTATAGATTCCCTAGAAGTAAGTTGGACGATATACGCATTTTTCCTCAATATATAAATGGAAATCTCACTTTAAGCATCGATGAGAAACTAGGATGAATATCCCAAGTTTTTATGATTCAAAGATCTAAATAGCCTTTATACCTGCAGTGACAATTGTATTCAATTAAACACTGGAGGAAACGGTCTTTAGAAGAGGTGGGTGGCTCTTAGAAGAGCCTTTGGGTTGGTGGTCTACATCAGGCTCACTTGGAGCTGGTGTACTTGGTCACGGCCTTGGTCCCCTCAGACACGGCGTGCTTGGCCAGCTCGCCGGGCAGCAGCAGGCGCACAGCGGTCTGGATCTCCCTGGAGGTGATGGTGGAGCGCTTGTTGTAGTGAGCCAGGCGAGAGGCCTCGCCGGCGATGCGCTCAAAGATGTCGCTCACGAACGAGTTCATGATGCCCATGGCCTTGGAGGAGATGCCGGTGTCGGGGTGCACCTGCTTCATCACCTTGTACACGTAGATGGCGTAGCTCTCCTTCCTGGTCTTCCTCTTCTTCTTGCCGCTCTTGCTGACGGCCTTGGACACGGCTTTCTTGGAGCCCTTCTTGGGCGCTTTCACAACCTCAGGCATGATTCAAGTCTCTGTCGCAGACTGACAATGTCGCGATGTGAACAGGACGGTGTTCATATATGAACGAGATGCAAATGTCACTGTGCGGTCGCTCGAGCGTGATTGGTTGTCTTCTGTGTGATACTGCGCATGCGTCTCACAGGCGGATTTCTCTATTGAGACCGAATCACTTTGGTGCTTTTAACACGAGTTTGTCTCGTGAGTTTCACATTGAGAATCATGTTGTAAGAATCATTGTGTGCACTGAAATCATCTAATGACCGTCACACAAACCATTCACAATCACAGGGCCCTGTTGATAGTTACAGTTACACACTTCAATTCTTGACGTGTCAAGACATGACAAACACCCTTTTTTTCATCCAGAATAGACAAATACATGTATAATAGTCATAAATAAATATTATAGGGCACCTTAACAGGACTTGTAGGCATTCAGCACACTGAGCCACGGAAGTGAAACATGTACAGTTTGTGTTCTTATGGCTAGACTCACTTTGTGATGTGACTTTAGAAGTTGGATGAGCGCAATTATTCTGATGACTGAAGTCTAGTAGTTTAAATTAACGTTTGAGCGCAGATTAGTTTGTGACATCAACCATCGGGTTAATTTGGCTGGAGTCGAATTTGATGAAATAAAACCTGCCTGTTATCAAGTACGTGATACCTTTGTTTACAAGTCATTAAAAAAGCTGTTTTTAAATGTTTCCATGCCTGTACGTGGATGATCATGCATATTATTAAAAATATGATTACAATGCTGGATTCACATCTTCACACCTTCAAGTTTTAAAACATAATGGGCTTTATTCCAGCCACGTTAGCATGTAACATGTCCGCAGAATGGAACCTTGTAAACCCTGAAATACGTAAAGTACAGTTGGACAGAACTTAATGTATTGTCATAATTCATATTAATAACACTAATGTTACATTGTATGGTTTGTGGAGTTGACATCACTCAGAAATTTGATGGTGAAATACGTTTTTGTGTTTCTTTCTTCATCTCTACGGATCGGTTGGAGTCGATGGTGGAGAAGGTGAGCCTGAACCTGCAAGGTTGGCGGTTCGAGCCCCGGCGGTGTCCCTGAGCAAGACACATGACCCCTAACTGCTCCCCGGAAAAGATGTAAGAAGCCACGTGTTAAAAATGCAGCGTGAGTGCTGTGGATAAAAAAGCGTCCGCTAAATGACCTGCAATGTGACAAGAAATATCATATGCGTTTTATTCTGAAATCCCAAACGCATGAATGACGGCAAGAAAGAATTCAAGTAGCGCAACGTGATTCGTTTATTTATTTCCCATTCTCATAAATCGATAGACGATAATAATAATAAGCATAATAAGATAACACTGTTGTTTACTGAACAGAGGTCCTCCGTAAAAAGTGACTTATTTACACAGCAACAGAAGCATCTGTACGATTTGTAAACCGCCCAAACGCCGGTACGTCCAGCATCAGAGTGTGACGGAGCAACATTTAGGGCGGCGGGAGTCCGGACAACAGGAACGTGGACCCGGGGAGACGGAGACGCACGAAAGAGGAACCGGCGTTAGGGATTGGCCAGTTCATCTGATGTCACAGAGGACGGCAGGATGTCCAAGGCTCCCATCTCTGCAACACACACACGTTGTAGGGTTAATAAAGACAATGCACATCATTACCCCGCTTAAAATGTGCGTATGTATTAGTGCAGCTTCCTGCAAACCACCTGATCCGTTGAACGTTGACGTTTCTGGACCAGAAACCGGTTCGATGAACAGTGTGAAGTGATTATGAATCAACCCGGTAACCTTTGAAGCTGGCGTACCCTTTGGGGGGTCGCGTCCCACGTTAACGCGGCATCGTAACATTCTAACAGCAGTGTTCTCCCTACCGTTATAGTGGGGTTCGCCGCTAATTAGCATTAGTTTTCCGTTAGCTCCCGCGCATGCGTCACGTCACAATCCACTACGATCTACTGCCGATCGACCTGTTGGGCAACTCTGATCTATCGTTTTGATGACGGCCGCTCAATGCGTCGTCGATCTCAAGGCGACCTTCGACGTGTCTTTGGTTTGAAGAAACATCGATGACGAAACATTTGCTGCGTATTTGGCAATGCGGTTGTGGGTCTTCTGCAGAGAATCACTCCTCGCTTTGAGATGAGTCCACATAGAGACGATGAACGTACCTTTAAGCTTCAGGTACGACAGAAAGTCAATGATGGTGTGGATGACGTCTCCATCTGCTATTCTCTGGGAACCTGCGGACGTAAAGCAACAGAATGCAGCCAACTGGAAGTTCTCACGTGAGAATATCAGTGTCTCCGGACACTAAGACATCCTGACACCGAGAAGAGTCCTAAAGATTCCTTCAGAAAAATGTCAACATGATAGAAAACTCTGATTCAAACAACTGCTCTGTTTGCATATACGAAATATTCAGTTTCTGAAACAGACAAACTCCTGATAAGCGAGTATTTTAAATAGTACAATGGTGGCAGAGTTGTGTGCATTTGACTCCCATGCGAGTGAGAGTTTGAACAGATGTCTTGATATCGTTTAAATCAGGCCTCCATTTACTTCAATCGTCAAAAAATACCACACAGAAAACTGAGTGAGATAGAGAGACAGACCTGTTCTGAAGTCCTCGTCCTGGCCCATGTCCCTCTTGCCAGCTAGACCCGACTTGTCTCCTAGTGTCCTGTGTCCATCTATTCCATCTGGACAATGAGGAGTGACATCACGATTGATGCAGTCAAACAAATAAGTGAGTTCACTTATTACAGCATTTCAGCCGAGGCTGTTGTTCAAACTACATCTGCTCTTCAGAGAATATCTAAAGGACAATGTTGTCCACTTGCTTATTACATCACTCTATTTGCTTTGAAATGTTTGGTTGAGATTCTTGTACGGACCACCTGCAGGGCTTGGCTCGTGGAATTGCGGCAAAGAAATGGAACACGTCTTTGGCAGCGGTGTCACATGCACACAAAGAAAGCGTTAGAACAATGCTGGTGAAATGGTTTGTGGTTAGCTTAGCCGCGGTGATGCTTACGGCGATGCTTAGCCGCGGTGATGCTTACGGCGATGCTTAGCCGCGGTGATGCTTACGGCGATGCTTAGCCGCAGCGATGCTTACAGTGATGCTTAGCCGCGGTGATGCTTACGGTGATGCTTAGCCGCGGTGATGCTTACGGTGATGCTTAGCCGCGGTGATGCTTAGCCGCGGCGATGCTTTGCTAGCGGTCAGCGTGTTCCTGCGAGCCTGCAGGTCACAGCGAGGTGTCCTCTGAAACAAGCCTCGTCCCAACACTCGCACATTGTGCAAACGCCACACGGAGACCTCTGTCGATGGCGACATAAGAGTCCCATCAGGCGGCGGCGTGTCCCCCCCCCAACCTCCTGATGTGTGGCGCCCCAATGAAGAGGTCCACACTGACTGCTGACCCAGAGGTCTGCTTAGAACCCTTAGAAGACTCCTCTTATCGTTTGGTTGAATAGTGCGTGTCCCACTGAAAGGTTCGACGGGACGGATGCTAATTGGCTGGAGGTAATTTGGGTTACTCGTTAGCTTGAGTAGAGCTCGAGCTGCTTAGCTGTGTGTGTTTAACTACGAGTACAATTCAAATCCGTGACCTCGGAGTGACCAGGAAGGGCCGAAATGAACAAACCGATCCTGCTGACTGGGGTCTTTTTCAGACAGTGGTGCTTGGTGGTCCAGCACCTTTCTGTGGGGTTTGTATGTTCTCCCCGTGTCTGACTGATATTGTGTCTATTTACAGAAAAGCATAACCTGTAAGTGAAAGATCTTAAACCACTTCGATGACGGTAATTTGAAGGTTTTTAAAAACACTCCATGTCAAAAAAGCCCACTTTTTTGCCAGACTTTTTTGTTTCATTTTAGTGGAATGAGTCAATTTCACCTCCCTCTGGTAAACAGTTCCTCAGCATTTACATCCAGGGGCTTTTATTGTGAAAGGTCAAAGAGGAAGGGGAGGGATCTGGTCTGATAACAGGTGATGTAATGTTCTTGTTCTCTTTTTTTTCAGTTAAACTGTGTCATGGGAAGAGAATTGCATTGCGTTGTAATTTCTGGTTCGGTGTAAAATGACTTAAAAAGCTCTTAAAGTAGATTGAGGTGCAAACAGATCGTACAGAAAAGGGCTTTATACTGTCGAACGGCATGCTGGGAAAAAGTTACCTCTCCTTTGCAAATGTGAGCTTTTATACCAAAAACTGTTGAATCCAGGAATTAGCCGGTCTCAACTTAAAGGTTCATAACGTCCGTGCAGAGACACGACCAGCTCCATTTAAAAGGGAAAAAATATATATTTCACACAACTAAAATAAAAGAGATAAAAGCATGATATTAAGATTTACGTTACTCAAGTTTTAGCTGAAATGATATATTATAACACAGCTTTGCTGTTTCATTTCAATGCCAGTAGTTTATGCTAAGCTACGCCTTCCTGCATCAACAGCATCTGTGTCTGACATTACTTATCTAATCTCACAGATGGTAAATTTAAAGATTAAATAAATTTATTTTATTTTATTTTATTTTATTTTATTTTATTTTATTTTATTTTATTTTAATTTAATTTAATTTAATTTAATTTAATTTAATTTTAATTTAATTTAATTTAATTTAATTTAATTTAATTTAATTTAAAGATTTATCAGTGTCGATGTCGCATCTTACCGTGTGCGACATTAAACACGCAACCTCACGCCAATAAACCACGTTTGTCGCTGTGGAAAATGGCTGCAAAGTGAGCGGAACCATAAAAAACTAAAGCCACTGATTAACCTGCGTCAGCTGGTCTGTGTTTAAGTAGCTTCCCACTACAACTAATACATTTTTTTTTAGCCACGTTTGGACGCGTAAGCAGCGACAGCAGCAGGCGGACAGACGTCCTCCCAGATGAGTGACAGCTCAGGAGGCGGGATGTGTGTGACAGAGCAATTCCTCCCCCCCGACACCAAGGCCCTGCAGCGGCCGTACGTTTCTATCTTACATGGGGTCACCAGGTCGTCTCTGCCTCGCACACTGGGAGAATCCTTTATCTGAATTAGGTGATCAATACGACCTGCAACA